ATCACTGGAAAATGATGGGGGAGGGGCAGAGAGTCAAGTCAAGAGGCAAAAACTGGTAGAACTACACCAGGAGTCCCCAATCTTTTTGAGCCTGCAGGCACTTTTGGAATACAGGATACTGCAGGCACTTTTGGAATACTGGCATTCCATTTGACTGTAACTCGCCCTAAATGAATTTTCTACTAGCAATTGTGCTTTGTTATTGACCTATGAAGAAAAAATATGTGAGCATCAGGCTTCATTTCTACTCTTATAGATGAGACAAAACACTGGAAATTATCTATAGAATCTTGTTCAGAAGAAGGAACGCCGAAACGACACAGGACATTCCGGAGCACGTCGTTAACATCATTTGCTTCGTTAAAAACCACTTCTGTTTATTTGAAACTGACTGTATTTTTGTATTCCAGCCTTGTTTAAAAAAACATATCACTTTAGCTTATTTAAATAGCATATATTTTCTGGTTTTTGCAGTACTGTATTATTTAGTTTAGTGCACTCATCACAGTAATAATCCCTGTGTAGCGTAATATTCATATACTGTGTACCATACTCTGTTTGCTTAACTTTTGGAATACTGACACAGTATTCTGGCTCAAGACCAGAGTAGATTAAGTCTATTTAGCCAGATTGGGCCAACACACAAGTCCAAGATAATAACCCATAGAAAACCTGAATTTATTCTACTGCAGAAAGGTTCAGAGGTTAGAACTCATGTTCCACCAGCAGGCTGCGTAACACAGTTCATCTTGAAGGGCAGAGTCTGTTTTCTCAGATCTTGCAGCGGAAAGGAACGCCCCCGTACCTCACCTGAGGGAACTGCGATCCCCCGCGATCCCCCCCCCGAAATGACCTCTGGCTAAAACTAAGAATAACAAAATGCCAGGCAGGGATGGAATTCCGATAGAATTTTATAAAAACTCCTGTATCGCCTTCCAAAAACTGCTTCCTCTTTCTGTCCTCCTGGCAGTCCCCATATCCTGTCCCCTTTCCCTGCTTCCTTCTCACCTTCCCACCCACAGCCAGCATGTCTTTTATCTGCCCCTCTGTTTCCCGCTTTATGTATTCTTTATTCATTTCTACTCCACCTTTCTCCTCAATGGGGACCCAAAACAGTTTACATCATTCTCCTCTCCTCCATTTAAGCCTCCTAACCAGCCTTCCTGGCCCCAGTCACCCAGCAAGCTTCCATGGCAGAGTGGGAATTTGAACATTGGCTCCCTAGATCCTAGTCTGACACTCCAACCACTACACCACTCTGGCTGTCAGCTTCCCCCTCCCACCCCGGCAGCCTCTCCCTGGGAAAAGTTTTCCCAAATGGCAAAAGTCATGCAGCAGCAAGTTGCTCAGGGGAGTTGTGTGGTGGCCACTGTCAGGGCCAGCCAACTTGTGCAGTGACTGCCACTTGCCCCGGGCGAGTTGCATGGCATTAACCTGTCTGGTAACTACTGCCAGACCTGGGTAAGTTATGCTAATTGCATGGTAGCAAGTTGCCTGCTGGTTGCTGCTGGGCCTTGCCTCAATGAGGCCCTGTCCACACGAGAGGATTAGGGCCGGGAGAGGGACGGAACAGGGGCGGAGCAAACGGGCGTGATCCCACCGCAACATCTGGGAAGCGTACCGTCTCTGTCCCTGATCCGGCCCTTCCAGCGATGCTCCACACCAAAAAAGAACCACCTACCGTGGTGGTTCTTTTTGAAGGGCCGCAGCAACGCTGGCCGTGGGATCGCCGGTGCGTCCTTGCGTCGGCGCATCCCCGGCTCCTGGCCGAACTGCGCATGTGTGAGCATGTGCAGTTCGCCAGCCTCCCCTTCGCTCCGTCGCTTTCTCCCTGGCATCTGATCGTGCCGGGGAGCGCCGCACCGCGGCTTGGGGGATCCGTGAGATCCCCCGCCGCGTCTCAACTTTGCTGCGGCTCTGATTAGCCGCAGTTCGACCGTCTTTTTCCCTGCCATGTGGCAGGGGCCTGAGTCTTCCTTCCAGGACAGGGAATAGGAGCAGGAGTACACTGGATAGCCAAACCAGCCCTGAAAAGAGCACTGCCCCCACCCCTGCCTTTTACGGAGAGAAACAAAGGCTTGTAGGCTGGTAACATAGCTATGTTACCTAGCAACCCCAAATGGCCACTAACTGTGGAGTCTTGTGAGCAAAAACGGAGAGAAACAAAGGCTTGTAGGCTGGTAACATAGCTATGTTACCTAGCAACCCCAAATGGCCACTGAGATTTCAGAGGGCTTTCATTTCTTAAAGCCACAGGAACTGCTTATATTATTGATGGTGTTAACCCTCTTCCAATGTATATACATTTTTTTAGATTTCTGTGGCTATAAATAAGAGAGGTAGAAGCACTGTCTGCTAGGAGATGTAGAGAGCAAGATGGAGGAGATTTGGAATGATTCTTGTCTGTCTAACTGAGTGATATAGGCATTGTCATGCCTGTTTCAATTAGACAGTAAACTAGTTTGGACCTCAAAAGGTACTCAGTTGCTTGATACATTGACACAAAAATTTAAGCTGCTTTTTACTGAATCAAATCACTGATTTAACTAATATCCCAATAAACCCCACGTTAAGGCCTGAAATTCTTTACCTGGAAATGCCAGGGACTGATGCTGGAAAGTTATGTATGTAAAGCATAAGCTTTAGCCCTTCTGTTAAGTTAATGTTCAACTAGCATGCAACGCCAAAGTTCAACAACCTATGTCATAAGAGGCTGCTCTGAAGCATGCAGATGGTAGTAGACGCTGAATTCTCGCAGAGGAAAAGAGAGAGATGCTTCCCATGTTTGGCTCCCAGAAAGAATGTGTTGCGGCACTGTTGCTTTTGCTGTCTTCTTTGGATTTTACCTCTGGTGGGAAGCTCCTGGTAATACCCATGGATGGAAGCCATTGGCTGAGTATGCGGTCTGTCCTGAAACAGCTCAAACAGAATGGGCATGAGACAGTCGTCGTTGCGCCTGAAATAAGCATGCATATAAAAGCTTCAGATGATATTTATACCCTGAAAAGATACCCGGTGCCTTTCACACAAGAAGAGATGGATGAAATTTTCCAGGACAGTGTGGACGGCATATTTGAAGAGTTCCCTTTTCTAGTTAGGTTTGTTAGAACCTATAACAGGCTGAAAAATACGTCTGCTTTGTTCTTTTCCACTTGCACGTCCTTATTGTACAATCAAGAACTGATGAAATACTTTGAGCAGAGCAAGTTTGACGCTCTTTTCACAGATCCGATGATGCCCTGTGGCCAGATAGTGGCTGAGTATCTTGGCATCCCTTCGATATTTTTCTTGCGAGGGATTCCCTGTGGTTTAGACTCTGAAGCTCTTCAGTGTCCCAGCCCTCCTTCTTATGTTCCAAGACCACTTACAACAAACACGGACCGCATGACGTTTGCCGAACGTGTTAAGAACATGCTGTTCCGCATGGCAGAATCCGTCCTTTGTGATGTCGTTTACTCTCCTTATTCAAATCTTGCGGCAGAATTTCTTCAGAAAGACATCACCGTCACAGAACTTTTGAGTCATGGATCAGTTTGGCTGATCAAAGCAGACTTTGCATTTGAGTATCCCAAACCACGGATGCCTAAAATGGTTGAAGTTGGAGGGATCAACTGTGCTGGGGAAAAAACTTTAACTCAGGTTGGTAACTCTTGCTATTTTCTTTAATTCATCAGGATAGATCTCTGAATTGTGTAGATAATTCTTATTCGATACAGACAGCACAATTATACCTGAATTTGATGTGAAGAGCTTCTGTTATTGGCCACAGTTCAGTGTCTGGGTACTTGCATTTAAACCCTATTGAAATTCACAGGGTTTAAACACAAACTCTATGATGAAATGATGATGTTATGTATAAGGTATTAAGCGTTGCATTAATTTTGTTTATGGTATTTTATTGGAATATTGGAATATGTTCCAGACATTTTATAATAGACATGGGGATATGGGCATAATATATAGGTTTCATAATCATACAAATGTTTGCTCATTGTAAAAAAATAGTAAGTAGCGCACTGGTAATTTCTGTAGGTCTGTTGCTAAGAACTAGTTTACGTTATTTACATTATTTTATTTCTATACATTATTTGTAGCCTGCCTTTCTCACTGAGACTCAAGGTGGATTACACAGTGTAGGTCTAACAGAAACAACAGGATGGGGCATCTCTCCTTATATATAATTGCATTTTCGTCTGGCAAAATTCTACGCCCTCCAAAATCAGTTGGCCCCATGATGTGTCAATCACAAGGTGTCTCTATCCACTGGCTGTGTTGCCTGAGTTCTCTCCCACCCACTGCAGCCTAGGTCACTCTTCTCTGATTGGGCCAGAGTTTCAAGGTAATTTGCATATGGAAGCTGATTGGACTTCATTCCAAACCTCAAACTCCCCCCCCCACGAGACAGTTGGAACTGTCAGTTGCATATGCGACCTGGTGTATTCTGAGGTAAAATATATCCTCACAACACATCACTTCCCCTTCAAAAGAAACAAACCCAATAACACAACCATGCCACACCACAAAAAAGACAGATCACACCACAAGCAGTATATCACAAGGCAAAAAATGATAGGAAAAGGTGCCAGCCGTCACCCCATTACTGCCACAGATATGTACCTGAGAGCGCTTTAGAGGATGGTGTGCAGGTCCCAGGATCATGTTATAAAAGCTGCCTGGGGGATTATGGCACATTGAAAACAAACAAGCACTGTATAAATAACGCAGACCATGGAGTGCACAAAGGTCATGCAAAGGAAAATTATATTATAACAAAAGCAAAGCTAACAAAAATAACAAGGGACCATATATATCAGTAAAGCAAGATGATCATAAAATGTGCAAGTTCATAAATAGTATACATAAATTCATAAGTAGTTGACGAAGACTCCGGATTTTGATCTTCATTTCGAAGGTTCTTCTTCAAAGAGTTCAAACTACTAGAATTGTAAGTAAAATCCAAACCATTATTATCATATTAACAATAAACAAAACCATATCCTATATACCAAAAGGTAAATATTACCTTCATAAAGTACTGATAATGTACAGAAGACTTCAATCATGTATATGTAGGGGAAATCCTTCACACAGCACTCATAAAGCACAGAAGCCTTCAGACTAGTAATACAGGAAAAATTCTGAAAATACATTTATAGTTACAAAAATTACAGAATACTGATATGTAAAATTATAAAAAGGTCATAAATCTCACCAATCCTAATGCTAATATAAAGCCGTGCATCCGATCAATAGTGGAACATGTTCTCAAATAGTCAGTAAGCCTCAAAAATACAGTCAGCTGCTGAAAGCTTAATATACTGTAGTGAATGTTAGGTACCATAGCACAGAAATTCTTAAAGTAAGAGAAGACTAAAAGTCCAATTCCTATTTCTACTCATGTAACAACTAAATTCTAAAGATGGATTACAACAACTCACAAGTAGCAGCCAATTTCTAATGATTGCTTGAAAGCCATAAATATGAAATATTTAAAGTTCAAAAATGTTAAAAGCCCTATTGCTATTTTTATTCCCAAAATAACAACTAAGTTCTAAAGATAAGTTACAATGACTCATAAGTAGCAGCCAAGATTGATTGAGACCAAGAGGATGAAATGTTTTGAGTTTGAAAATCCGGAATGCTTCACGTTGTCTTAACTTTCTTTGGACATTCAAGCCAGTATATCGGTGGGTTATAAGTATTTCCAATACCACAAATTTAAAATCATTTGGAGAATGCTTCATGTTCATGTAATGCTGTATCAGAGTTGCAGACCTGAAGTCAGAATGTACTAGTAAGTCACAAATATTTCTAGTTCTTCTAAACCCTATAAAAGGGTGATTTTGACATCCGGAAATGCCCTCCACAATATGCCAATGTTTATGAATGATGTTTTTAATTTGAGATGTCAATGGTGTAAAGTCAAAAGCACAAAACAAGGAACATGGTTGCTACGTCCTGTCTCTTTAAACAAATTTGAACGATCAATGCTGGCAGCCCTAACACCTGCATGTTGAATAATCTTTGCTGGATAACCTCTTTCTCTAAACT